AAAACCATACATAGAGAGGATCTAGACCCTCTGCTCAGATGTAGTCCTTAGACAGCTCTCTAACATGAATTCAGTTGTCTTCTCCTTGATCACTTTTCCCTGGTGGGGTGACCTAGCCAGGCCACAGAGGAAGAAGATCTAGGAAGTCCTGGTAGGACCTGATAGGCCAGAGTCAGACAGTAGGGGAGGAGGTCTTCCCCTCTCAGTGAACTAGGGAAGAAGGATAGGGGAGAAAGAGGGAGAGAGGGTAGGACCTGGAGGTGTCAAGGGAGGGGGCTACAACTGGGAGACAAAATGAATAAATTGTTAATTATAATAATAATAAATATGTTTTAAAAAGAAAGCAGGCTAAGTAAGCCATGAGGAACAAGTGAGTAAGCAGTACTCCTCCATGACCTTTGCATCAGCTCCTGCCTCCAGGTTTCTGCTGTTTTCTACCTTGACTTCCTTCATTGATGGATTTATAACTGTAATATGAAGTAAACCCACTCTTCCACAAGTTTTTTGTCATGGTATTTTATAAGAGTAATAGAAACCCTAAGACACTAATAGTATGTCAAAAACTGAACTCCTCCTGCCTACAATTTATAAAATCTTTTTCATTGTGTTATAGAATCATTTGTTTTTTGGAGAAAGGGACTAACAATGTAGATAAGACTGAACTCAAATTTACAAAGATCTACTGCCTCTGTCTCTCATTTTGGGAGTAAAAGTGTGCTCCACAACCAGCATATTTCTCATTCTTAATTTTTAGAATGTTTTCATGTAAGAAAGGATGATTACTTAATGCTAGTGTCTACCTTATCCTACACATTTAGGGGAGGGAATGCCTTTTCTCTGTGTTTTCAAAGTCTGTGTTGGGCCTGAGACTCATACTGACACAAATTAAACTGATATATAGGAGAAAAGCATACATTTTAATTTTATTTTTATATGTGACCTAGACTCACAGGAATAAGGGACATGAATGTTGAGGTTTTGAGCAGAAGGACCCAAGATCCTTAAATACAGATGACCAGTAGCTGGGACCAGGAGGTCTTTCAGCTGATGACTTAATTACAAGAAAGCTTATTAAGAAGTACAACATCTTATATACTCCTTGTAGGGGGAAAGGCCATGGTCAGCAAAAAGCTAACTCAGACAATATTGGCAAGAGAATAGAGGATATCTCAGACAGCTGCCTTAGGAGTGATAACTATAGCTTTTGGGAGGGAAAGCTGGTTTCCCAGGAGCCAAAACCTTAACGTCAAGGCCCTGGCCCTAAACCCAGCCCAGACCTTGCCAAGCCTGCCCTGCGCAAGGACACAGACCCAGGTTCCTTTTGTCCTTTCAAGGCTTATGAGACAGCCTTGGATCAGTCTGGCTTCCAACAATATGTATATTAGAACCACCATAAGAAAAGGAGACCTCAAAAAGCTGTTTGATGTGCATTTTTATATACTAAATTAGATAGAAAAATAAATTATGTAGGCATAAGAACACCTGAGGGCTTTTTACAGGATATTGGGGGAAACTAGAAAGATAAAGATTAGTTTAACAAGGTGTGTTAACATAGACTTTTCTTAGCCTCAGCCTCCTGTTAATTGTGGTAAGAATGTTACTCCTGTAAATGCGGGCAACCTCCACAGGGAAAAGGACAAGGTCAAGATAGTTCTCTAATGCCTTTGCTCAAAATAATCCTTTGTTGCTCAAAACAACAAAGAGGGCTTTATTTGGAAGAATATTCTACTTCATATACTACCAGGGACATATCATATGAGATTGCTGCTATTATATTAATTCTGAAATAATAATAGTAAATGTCTCCATTTTTATTGAAAAAAATATACAATATATTTTATCATTTTCCTCCTCCAACTCCTACTGTATCTTTGCCATCTCCCTACCTCTCCAATTTCATGTTCTTTCTCTCATAAACAAAAGTCAAAACCACAAACAAACAAAAAAAAAAACCCACTAAGATCAAACAAAGCAAAAAGAACATATACACAGAAACAACAGCAACAACAAATGAAATCCATTTTGTGTTGAACAGCTTTTCCTGGATATGGGTCCTGTTCTGGGGTTTGATTGATATACCTAGTGTCACTTGATTAGAGAACACTGATTTTTCCTTTCTCAGGAGGTATCAATTGCCAATACCTTCTTAATTAAGAGAGGGACTTTGTGTCCACTTCCTCTTCTCCCTGCTGGGATTTTTTTCTGGTTTGAATGTATGTAGATCCTTGCATGCTATCACCAACAGTCTCTGAGTTCTTACGTGTATCAGTTCTGTTGTGTCTGGAAGCTGCTCTTTCCTTGGAGTTATCTACCATCTCTGTCTCAAAAAATTTGACTCTTCTCTTTTGCATAGATTCCTGAGCCTTAAGGGAAAGGGTTTGATAAAGATGTTCCATTTAAGGCTGAGTTTTCCAAAGATTTTCACTCTCTGAATAGTGTCTACTTGTGTGTCTCTGTGATAATTACTCTAAGAAGAAACTTCTCTAATGATGGCTGAGATGGGGCACTGATCTATCAGTCTATAGCAATATCTTTAGGAGTCATTTTATTCCTATGTTCCTTTAGCCGATCAGTAGTATTTGGTTTTCCCCTAGGTCCATGAACTATCTAGTTTCAGGTTCTTAGACATGTTAGCCGTGTCAGGCATCCATCTGGTGAAACAGGCCTTAAATCTAATGAAAAAGTGGTTGGGGAAAGAGGAAAAATACTATCAGAATATATTATAAGAATTATTTTTTCATTTTGAAAAAAAGTGACTGGTTACTTCCATAACATGTGTGTCAGCCACTATTGCTTGAGTGTATCTTACAGACAGGTCATTGTTGTAGTTCACATGGCTTATAGCTGTATGCAACTGATGGTAATCTTCTCTAGTAGCATGTGAAGTACCTTTGAGCACTATAAAAACTAGACAGTAGAGGAGAAGCTTCTAGTTGGGCGACACCTCAAATCTCCATGTTCGATGACATAAGTAAGTTGTGTCTTCAGCAGTAGGCCTTCACATCCATCTATGAAGAATGACCAACAGCTAGTATCCTTGAAAATACCCTGTGATGTCTGTTTACCTCACTCAGCATGGTCATTTTCGGCTCCATTCACTTATCATTCTGAATTTCATTTTTTTAAAAGATTTTATTTATTTTATGAATGAGTGTTCTATGTGCATGTACAGAAGAGGGCATCAGATTCCAGCGTAGATGGCTGTGAGCCACCATGTGGTTGCTGGGAATTGAACTCAGGGCCTCTGGAAGAGCAGTGTTCTTAGAAGCTGAGCCATCTCTCTAGTCCGAATTTTATTTTATTTTTTTAAAGAGCTGAATAGTATTTAATTCTGTAAATGTACCACACTTTCATTATCCAGTAATCAGTTGATGAACATTTAGCCTATTCCTAGTTTCTGGCTGTTAGGAAAAGAGCATCCATAAACATGGAGGAACAAATAGCTCTACAGCAGGATGTAGACTCCTTTCGGTATATGTCCAAGAGTTGTGTATCTGGATGTTAGGGTAGATAGAGTTTCAGATTTTTGAAGAACCTCCACACAGATTTCCATAGTGGCCTGAGTAGTTTGCACTTCCTGCAGCTCTCCTGTGCCTGCATCCTCACCATCATTTGTTTTATTGATTTCAGCCATTTTCACTGGGATAACATGAAATCTAAGAGTAGTTTTAATTTCCATTACCCCAATAGCCAAGGATATTGAACAAATGTTTCTGAGCTATTTCTATTTCATCTTTTTTTAGAACATTCATCCTAGTCCTTCTAGCTTTCAGAATCTACTAAAAATTTGGGTGTTGTATTAATAGTCCTGCTGTGTTAATGGTTCTGTTATATTAATTCCATCTCTCTACTCCAGATTTTATACTTTTATAACTTGTTTCCTTCCTGGTGGATATTACACCATTCCCCTGGGCCATATCTTTGAAAACATTGTCCTTAAAGAAATCGTGCCAATATTTTTACTCAGGTCTCCTTATGTTCAAAGAGAATAAGGCAGATTAATTGTTCTGCTTTACAAAGCTCATTGTGACACATTTTTGTTCCTATAAGAAATTAATTAGCGGAACAGAAATAATGAAATCTTGGCAAATTACATATTTTTATATATAACTTTCTAAGGAACTCTATAAATGTCAGTATTTCATGAAAGGACCTGTTTCTATTCTTGGAGTTAAGTGAAGTAAATGATTGGTAATATATCAGTTCCAAACAACTGTTTGATGCAGCTGACAGCAGCATTAGATAGATTCCCCAATGTGCTAATTCATTTGCTGAGTTTATTGTGGGGAAGGATAATGATGAAGGGCCTAAAATCTGGGTGCCAGTTTTGTAAGGTCAGATAAGCTGTGTCACCTTGGGCTTAGCCCTTCTGCTTCCGTAGATGGAAGAGGTAAAAATGGTACTGGCCTCCACTCTGGAGTTTAATGTGTAAAACTTATTTAAGAGCAAATGAGGAAAAGTGTGTGTGTGTGGGGGGGGGTGTTATATAAGATGCTATATGGAAAACAACAACAAATAAGTAAAAGAACATATAGAAATAAAAAGTTTAAGAACGGAAACTGTTATTATGTTACATTGTCATTGTTTTGCTGTTTGGTTTTTTTTTTTTCTGTTGTTTAACTCTGCATGTGGGATAACTGCAATCATTCTGCTATTAGAAAACCTTCATTATAAAAAACAATGTATTGCCAGTACCTAGTTTCTATTTTACCTCCTTTTTTCTGTTTGGACAAGTAACTACTCTGCAGTCTGTCACACAGTTTAGAATCCTGTAGCCTTATATAGATTTTCAGGTCACACATACACATTTTATACAATTTCACTGAGATCTGGAAGAATAACAAAGATTAAATAAAGTTCTCTTTGGTTAGGTCAGTTCTAGTTTGACAGACCGCTTTACAATATCTAATTAATGCTGAAGATACTTGAACCCAGTAACCAGAATCTTTCCTGTTACAGAGCAAAACAGTGAAATATTGAATTCTCTTCTTTTTATACAGTGCCTCCAAAGCCATTACATCTACAGAATTCACCTTTATCCTATACACTCCAAGTCCCCAGGCTTAAAGCTTTACCCAGCGCAAAACCAAGGATGGAGGAGTCTAATCTGGCCCCTACTTCTTGTGCCTCAAAAGGAAAACCTAGCAAGGTATCGGATCTCATCAGTCACTTTGAAGGAGGCAGGTAAGAGTTAACATATAATCAGAGAGAGAGGTGGAGGAGATGGTCTTTGAAAGTCACGGTATCTTACAAGTATATTTTAAAAATAATTACTTGATCTTGCCCTAGTAGGCATTAACATACTGTGTATTCATATTTTGTGTCTCATTTCCTGTGTCTGTATGTGTCACTCTGGGCTATTGCTTGTAGCAATGCTGCTGTCCCAGGCACAACTGATAGGAAGGACTCATGTTATCTTGGTCTCCATTCTCCTCACTCTCTGAGGACCTGAGTCCTATGGATTCTTGCCTCCTTGTGCCTCTCTAGTCTTTTTGATCTATTTCATGTAATGAGAGGCCTCTATATCAATTCAATCTGTTTCCCTCTTCCTGTTACTACCCCGTGGTAGGTTACAAAGAGATATTAATACTAAAAACAAAATTCATAAAATACTCATTTCATTCTCAGAAAAATTTTATATTCTTTAGTTCTAACGTGTGGACAAAATTTGTTTTTTTTATCAAATATTTTCATTTATTCAGGTATGATATTGAGAGATAATTTCACATTACATGAATCTTTTTTAAGAATTATTTATTTTACTATTTTATATCTATGGATTATTTTTATGTATGCCATTACATGAATGTAATGACACTATAGCTCAGGAATATTTTGGAATGTTCTGGGAAGCATGAAACAATAATGTCCCTCATTCAAAATTCAAAATATAAGTATAAAGCAGCTAGGGGGCACAGAAATATAATCACAACACTCAGGGGCCTGAAGCAGGGAGATAGAGAGTTTGGATAGCCTGGGCACCATTGTAAGACTCAAAATCAAGAAACTAAAATGTAATGTACTTACAAAATATCACACATCCAGTTACTTGTAATACAGTTACAAGTTCTGGAGAAAAGTGTCTAAAAGCCTGTCTTCATATTTCATTGCTGAGCACTTCTGTAAATCCTTAAATTCCTCTGAAGGGAATTTGTAATGCTTTTGGTAGCTGAAATTGCAGCAATATTTAAAGCAGTGATTAAATTTCATTCAGGTTTTTTCTTCTCAGAGTTCATTGATTCAAAAAGAGAAAAGAATCCTTCCAGTTTATAGATTCTGCAGCCACTGCAGTGACTACAGAATATAAGGAAGGCTGGAGCTTGAGCCTCGCACAAGTACTTTCACACCAGTGCTGAGGAGGCCTCAAAGGACTCAGAATTTCAAGGCTGAGATCTCTAACTCTGAGCAGTTTTGTGACCCCTTTTTTTGCATTGTTTAAATTTATCTCTCCAGGTGAAATGTGTGTAATTTTTGTACTTAATGGAAGGAAGAATGTGCTATAATTTATGGTTCTAAACATACGTAAGATATAATGTTCATATTTGGCAATGGTTTGAAGGGATTCTCTTGTGGAATCCATTGCAAGTAGCAACAATATTGGTCTGTCATCTAGACAGTGTCAGTGTTGTAGTGTTCAACTGGGAAAGACCAAGGACTCATTTCAAATTTAGATTAAATGAATTTATTCTTACTGCTTGCAGAAGGATGGCAACATCCTTAGAGCCAAACATCATGCTGTGTGGAAGGAGTTGTGTGCTGATAAGGTGGGGTTTTAAAACTGACATCAAAAAGGTGTGCATTACAACTATCCGTGGAATCCACAGATGGGCAGAAAAATTGTTTTACTTCTCTCAGTTGTTTCTTTCCCACTAGGTAGTAATAAAAAAATCATTTCATCCCTTTCTCCTAGCAATAAGCAGGCTTTACAGAGGCACAGGCCGCTATTAATACCTCACAGCCCATTATCCTATTCTCATATTACATGTAGGCCGCTAGGATTTCCCAGGCACTCCAGAACAAAAGATAAGGTCAATGGTCCTTGTGACTCTAGCTGCTTATCAAGGCTCTTTAGTCATGATGGGGACCTGTGTAAATTATTACTCAGTTCTGAGCACCCTAATGACTGAGATAGAGTTAATTTCTGAGCAAACAAAAAACACAGAGCCATCAGGTTAAGGTTGGCTGTCAGGTCCCTACACCAGGACAGTTGGCCCCAAAAGAGTCTACAGAGAGACTATAATGTCCACAAGCCTGTCAGTTTTGATCACTGTTGTCATAGCCTAACACTTTGTAGAATAAAAGGAGGCCTCTGGGTTCTCCAACTGCAGACACAGGCCAGGAAGACCTCGGAGGGCCACATATCACTGTTATTAGGACCTCAGAAGAAGATCAGTGACATGTTTCAGCAAGAAAGGTACTTATCTCGAAAGCCGAAACATCCAAGTTCAGTCCCTGAAGCTCAGGGTGGAAGGAGAAAATAGACTCCCAAAGAACCATCTGAGTATCACAGTTTTACTTGGGTGGAAGTAATATGAAGTAGAATGGTTTTTTGTTTGTTTTGGTTTTTTGAGACTGGGTTTCTCTGTGTAGCCCTGTAGACCAGGCTGGCCTTAACATCACAAAGATTCACCCACCTTTTGCCTCCTGAGTGCTGGGATTAATGGCATGCACCATCACTGTCTGGTGAAGTGGAACAATTTTGAAGCCAGTAGATATAATAATAATAGTAGTAGTAATAATAATTACTATTAATTATTATTTTTTTTACTGTGGCTTTTTTCTCACATCTTTCTCTTTTTTTCTCACATCTCTCTCTCTCTCTCTCTCTCTTAGCTTAGAAAATCTTCATGATTTTAAAGATAACAGTTTTCCACAGACAAGAGCTTTCGGCTTTCCCAAGCACCTTGCAGGCCAGCACGCATACACACATACACACAGAGTTTGGCGTTCACAGGCAGCAAGAGTCTCCTGAGAAGTAGTTTAGCAATTGCTTTCCCTCCCTCTCCAGCTTATTTCTTCTGATGCAAATGTACCTTTGATGTCAGAGTAAATTGCTAGTTATTTTCTATCTTATTCTTTTAGAAGACTACAGAAAGTGGGCAGCTTGGCTCATCTTCGAGAATTTTTTTTGACAGATTATCCAGGCTCAAGATTGACTATGTATAAGGGTAGAATGTGCCACATTTATTTATATTGTCCACTTCCAACTTAGAAACATTTTTTCTTCTGAAATTTTTTTCTCTTCTCTTATTACTGTGGTTCTGGTATTGGACTTAAACCATGTTTTTTTAATGAAATTTTATTTTTTATATTATTTACAGTTTATTCACTTTGTATCCCAGCTGTAAGCCCCTCCTTCATTCCCTCCCAATCCCACCCTCCCTCACCCTCCCTCCCTCTTCTCCTCGCATGCCCCTGTCCAAGTCCACTGATAGGAGAGGAGCTCTTCCGTTCCATCTGACCCTAGCTTATGAGGTCTCATCAGGACTGGCTGCACTGTCCTACCTGTGGCCTGACAAGGCTGCTCCCCCTCTGGGGGAGATGGTCAAAGAGCCAGCCATTAAACCATGTTTTTTTTTTCTTTTTCTTTTTTTCCTTTGTTACTAAGTAACAAAGTAAAGTTCACAACAGCACTGACAGGGTTGGGTTAGGATGAAGGAAGAAGGTGACAATACATCTTTATACTTTCTAAAGTGCATTGCTTTAGCCCACTTCACCGCAACACCCAGCATTCTACCCATACTGAAGAAAGTAATCAATCTTGGATTCTGCATCTTCTTTTTTATTGGCAGCTTATTTACCTGCTCTTCATTTTATCCAAAATTGGGCAAAGATGGTAATGAGGTTTAGAGCTGGACTTTATGGTTGAATTCTGGGTTTGCCACTTGCTAGCCAGGTGACATTGGCTATAGGTCAGAAATTTTGCATGTATAGATTCCTCTGATTATGGGCCCCTGCTTTAAGAAGTGTTGTAAGTATAAAACATAATAACCAGTATTAAAAAACTTAGCATACCTTTAGGCACTTAGTGGCTACTTCATAAATGCTGTCTGCTATGTAATTGTCATAGGGTCATCAATCCATCATCAATCCACTATACATCTGTTGAACTCTTTGCACACATCAAGCTAAGCTGTAAGAATAAAGATGAGAACAGGACAGCACTCTCTGCAAGCTCATGGAATTCTAATCTGTTCTCATTTCTTCTTATTTAAATCATAGAAATATAGCTTGGAGTTTTATGTTCCCTCCCTCAACCTTGAATTATTGGTTAAATGCTGTACAGATATTTCCATGGGCATGTAATTATGTATTGGGAGTGAAGGTCTGTTCTACATTTAGTCCTATCAATATTATATATAATATCAGCAGTAATAAGGGCTTTAAAGACAAATAAGAGATTAGAGAACGTGGTGGAGTCTGTTGCTTAAATTGACTAGCCAAGCAAAGACTCTCAGAAGACCTGAGTGACAGAGGGAGGAATGAACTCTACCAGTGTCCTGGGGAAGATTGTGCCAGGCACAGAAGAACAGGGCTACTGACCCTAACATACACACAAATGCAGAACTCTAGGAATATGGCAGGACCACAGTAAGGAGAAAGATGGTCCCAGGAGATGGGAGATGTGGGAGATGAAGGCAGAGTCTTGCTGATATCATGGAGACATTAGTGAACTCTTGCAGGTATAAGGACCTGATTTGTAAGAACAAGACTGGAGAGATCAAGAGAGAAATTAAAGAAAGCCATTGGGAATCAGTTGGAAGTTACTGCAGCATGCATAATAAAGCTTGTTAAAATGTCTCTACTTTCCAAATAAAACTAACATAGTTTTATAGCCAGTTTATAAACTAGGAACTCCTATTTTTTTTTTTTTTAAAGACAGGGTTTCTCTTTGTAGTTATGGCTATCTTGAATCTCACTCTGTAGACCAGGCTGGCCTCCAATTCACAGAAATCTGCCTACCTCTGCCTCCCAAGTGCTGGGATTAAAGGCATACACCACCATCGCCTTGCTCTCCTATTCTTATTTTAAAAATTAAGAACTAAAGATCTTGGGAAAGACAATCTCATTAAACACAAATACTTCTTTAATCTCTGTCTTTACTGAATATTATATTACTAAACAGCTCATGGAAATACTCCAACCAGAAAATACTCAGGTTCATCCAGTCTTCTTTTGGTTATGAGCCTAGCTTTTGACAGCTAAGCCAGCTCTCCAGTCTTTGCCTTTCTATGTAACTACTTGTTTAAATGTGTCTTGTGTTCCATGATTCTATGTGTCTAAAACCATCATGAATAAAGATGATGTCTCTTTTCACCTGGCATTGACCAAGTGTCTTCATTCTAAAACTTTCATGGCGATTTTTCTGTTTGTATTTTATCTTATAGTGTTTTGTCAAGTTACATTGATTTGCAAAAAGATTCTACTGTGAACCTAAATACTCCTCAAACTCCAGGACAGCATGGATTGAATTCCACACCTACACGAAAATTCCTGTGCCAACATTCTCCACAGAAGCAGGAAAATGATACAGATCAGACTCAGGACCAACATAGTTGTTTGGCCAATGGTGTGGTGGCAGCACAAAGCCAGATGGAATGTAAAGATGAGAAAGAGAATGCTCTTAGCCCAGAGACTTCCATTCAAACTGCTGCAGCCTCTCTTGACACACACTGGGTAAATGGAGAAAGAAATGAAATCACCACAGATTCTGTGTCATCCATGACCAATAGCCATGATGAAAATGCTTCTGACAGCAACAGCAGGACTCCAGCTGCTGATTTAGGGCCTCCCCCAAAAGGAGGGGAGCTAGGAATGGAAACTGAGCTACAAGAGAGGGAAAATGGAGGGAGCACCTTAGAACTGGACACGATGGACCAGCACCATGAAATGAAGGTAAAGCATAACCTGTCTTCACAGGGAAAGCACAATCTAGTGAATTACTCTTGTTTCATAGCACCTGTGAAATGAATGACTTGGGTTACCCACACCAGCATATAAACCATTTGTAAGCTCTGGGAGCTACTGGCTGTTAAACATCTCAAGGATGTTTCCCTTTTTCTTCTTGTGTAGCTTCTTTTGATTCTTCTGTTGTGATTTCTAAAAGCATGATTGTGTTAAGACTACAGCAACCACTTTGTATTCATTTGAGTGGCATATGTTCTTTGTGGCTCTAGATATTGGTTCTAGTTCTATAGACCAGTATTGCTTCCCTGGGGCAACAAATCACAACTTCCACAACCAGGGGTATTACAGTAGACAGAGGTGAAACTGTACCAGCACCAGCACCATGAGATAGAGGTGAAGCCAAGACTTGTTTCCTCACAGGCAGGAAGAACACTGCCTCCTGTGTTGCTCTTTCAGGTTTCGTAGCACTGTGAGTAAGTAGCTCACTTCTTGTGGAGGCACAGCAGAGCTGAGTTCACATAATACAGGAAACTTTGCTAGATATGTTTTATTATGCTTTTTAGAAAATCCTTTAAAAATGACAAAATAGAATATTATTGATGAAACAGAACCAGGAAATCTTGAGACTATTTCTGACTCTTAGGTTAACTCACAGGTATTTTTGTATGTGACTCTAACAACAGGTTGCTTTGGTCTTATTTACATCAGTATCTTATTTTGGGATTTTAATTAGCATGGCTTTCATGCCATAATCTGGATTTCTTGTGGCAAAGGTGTCATGTAAGTATCATTCTGAATTTCCCTAGTCTTTAACATGCTATGTATATCTCTGAAAACAGAAATTTCTATTGCTTGGTCTTTCTCATTGATTATACTAAATTAAAACTTTGACAATTGTAGGAAGAGTAGCAAATGGAAAATCCAAATCTTAAATCTACTTATGGTCCTGTTCCCTAGGATGGCAGACAGTCATAAGTAAAGGGCTGATTCTAAAATGCTAACATGACTGACTGGTGTTTGTATTTAGAACTTTAACTGAAGTGCAGTCGACATTCAGCAAATGGTTGAGAGAAAGTAACCAGTGCTTCACAACATTGTGTGAACCAGCAAAGAAACCCAGCCCTGCCAAGGGGAGCTTCTTGTGCCTCATCAGTGGGCTAAAGCTGAGGGTTTTCTTAACTGAACTGTGGTGAGAGTAAGGTACAGTTAGAAGCAAGGCTTTTTCACAGTGGAGATGGGGCCCTCAGGGATCATCTGTGATGCTGCAAGTGCGGTTCTTATTAAAGGAAGTTTGATGGCGATTCCTGTGTGGCTGGTCCTCTTCCCACTTTGTGTTGTTGTTATCTATGTGTTCTTAGATGAATTTTACTTAACTTGAAGGAGATGTAATACAATTTTCTTTTTCTTTCTTTGATTTTCTTTGTTGTAAATAGACCTTTATCATGTAATATATTTTGATTATTCTTTCCTCTCCCCTGTTTCACCCAGATCATCCCTATTTCTTCCCGCCCAGCCAAATTTACACCCTTTCTTTCTCCTCATTAGAATACAAACAGACAGCTAAAATAGTGATATAAAATAAAAACAAATATAGCAAATAGGGCAAAACAAACTTTTATTATTAAGCTAATGAAGCATAGAGCAATACAGGGCCTTTCCCTGATAATCAATGGATGCACAGCTATTGATCTGAACAACACTCACTATTAATATGATGGTAGTGTGTTACCTTCCCTTTCTGCAGCTTGCCATATTGTAGTTCCTTATCTCAGAATTCAAAAAGCTAGTGGTATAGGGATGGTGTGTTTTTGTTACCTGTATTTTACCACAGTTTGGAATAAAAAAGAAGTTATTTTTAATAACTTTAATAGAATATTGTGGACTAAGCAGTTGGGACCAGAAACTGATAGTGCTTCTGGCTTGTGATTGGCCAAGGCAATGAAATTCCTGTGTGTAGTTAAGGGATATAAACTGTGCATGGGTTCCTGGGGAGATGGCTCAGTGTTTAAGAACACTGTCTGCTCTTTCAGAGGTCCTGAGTTCAATTCCCAGCAACCACATGGTGGCTCACAACCATCTATAATGTGATCTGATACCCTTTTTGTCACGCAGGTGTATGCTCATGTATATAAATAAATAAATCTTTAAAAAAAATAAACTGTGCATGGTCATATTTCTGTGATAATATACTAATTCTTTGTATTGACATGTGATAATTCCCTTGATAACCTTCAAATCAACCACTGCTTCTTAAGCTTTCTAATGTGATAGACTTTTAAGATACAATGGAATATTTTGAAATTCATCATGCACAAAATTGAAAATTAATTATTCTCTCTTTATATAAGTAGATAAAGAGTTTGAAATAAATCTCATTTAAACAAATGCTTAACATTTTCTTGAGAAGTTTTTTTGGAAGTTCTCATGGGTAGCACAGCTACCTATATACCCTTGATGAAGGAACAGCCCTCCCATGTCCAGAAAGATAATCCTTATGATCTAAGCAAAAGTTTCTGAAAGACACCCAAGGGGCAGTGATGGGGGGAAGGAATACCTCAAAACTAAAAAAGTGAAATAAGTTTAAATCATAAGCATTTTGCTATGCCTTAGTCACTAGGCCATATTTTAAAGAAAGAAACATTCTGAGTAACTTTGAGAAAAGACAAACACAATATATTTGAGGGGAAATCTACTAATATAATCCTGTAAAGTTTATCCTGTGCTCATGGAACTATTGAGCAATTTTCATTTACATGACTTTGTAAATGGCAGGCAGTTAACCATTAAAGTATGTATACTTAAGAAATGGCAACTAAATTAAATTCAACTAATTAAATTGATTCTAAAACATAATAAAGACATAGCTTTTCATCTTGTTGCATAGCATGCTTAATTTAGTTTAAGCATTTAAGCCTTCCTTCCAAACAGGAATTGGAATACGGTCGCCTTGTGACAATCCTGGACATATATGCCTTCTCCTTCCCATGACTGAGAGTCACAGCATTTTCCTTACCACAGCAGCCCTCCAGCAGACTTCAGTCTTCTACTGCTGTAGTCATGACCCCAGTTATTTAAAGGTGTAAGGCCCAGGAGATAGCTGCTCACCTTCTGGAAGGGACCATGTTATTTACTTTTCTCATCACTGTGACAAAATATCTTAGAAAAACAATCTAAGGAAAGCAAGTTTGTTATGGTTACACTGTGAAGTTGTAGTCTAGTCAGGAAGCATGGAAACAGGCCACAGTGCACCACAACCAGGAACTGGATAAATGCTGTCATCCTATTGCTTTGTCCCTTCTTAATCAGTCTGGTAGTTTAGCCATTGGAATGTTGCATCCATATCAGGGTGGCTCTTCCCAATTCAGTCAAACATTTTTGGAAACATTCCTGGACACCGTGAGAGATGTGCTCCCTCAGGGTTCTAAATATAGACAATCAAGATTAAATATCACACCAGCATTTGTCAGTATGATACCTAAACATAGCACTTTAAGTCATGACATTCTACCATTTATCTAAACATCTCATTTTTACCTCATAATGCAAAATGCATAGCCAATCTCAAATATTCCTTATAGTCCTTAACTATCACAAGAATAAATATTTTATATTTGAAGTCTGAGTATATAGAGTGGTAGGTTTTTTTTTAAGACTAAAGTTTATGTAGATGTCGATATTATTTTAAAAACACTCAAATTAATAGCTGCCAAGTATATAGCAGCAGCAAAGATATATTATCCCTTCACTTGACTAAAAATAACAAAAAATAAATAATTATTTAAAAGAAGTTTTAAAATAATAAATATTGTTTTTAAAACTTGTGTTTATTTCCTGACCATTCTGACTTTAAATTACTACTTTACTTATTATGATTATATAAGCCTTCAGAGTATATAACTGTTAAACATCCTAAAATAAGAATTAATGGACGAAGAATGTAGCTCAGTGATTGACAAATTCCTATTTTGTGTGAAGCCTTAAGTTCAATTATAAATAAGTGTTGTAATCTGTTATTTTTTTCTTCGATTTTCAATCACTGTTTAGTTATAATTCTTTTTAATTGAATTTTTTCATATAATACATTCTGATACTTTCCTCTATCCTAAGTGCTCTAGTTTTAATTCTTAAAATCATTGATTAGTTTGGAAACACATACAAAAAAATTGTGTTCAGTGAATATAAGCTGATGGACAGGCTGCTAAGCAGCAGCTCAAGTGGACTTGGAGGTGGCTGGGTCAAGGATGGAGTGGATTGGGGTAAGAGATACCAGCAATGAGCAGGGTGCAAGGGGTTGGCTCAGTCTTTGAGAAAATATTGATGAGCATGGACTTGAACTAAGATTTTTAATTTCAATTAAATTGGCCTCATAATAAGGCCAGAAAGGATAGAAAAGTTAATGTCAGTGTAGAGGGTTAGACTTGCTTCTGAGATAAAATCATATTGTACTGCCTAGGCTCATTGTATTCCTGGCCTTTGATTAAACTTCATCCGCCCCAGGAGCTGGCAATGCAGGTGTGTGAGCCCATTGCCGACCCAGGGCTCAGCTTACAAGGAAAGCTGAGGACAGATTGCCATGGGCTACTGTGCAATGAGCCAGTGTGCCATAGGCGTCTGTGCAGTGGGTTCTGTGCAGGGATCGTGTGCTGAGGACTAGTGTGTTGGGGGCTGTTGTGCAGTATAGGCTAGTATGTTGTGGGCTAGTGTGCCATAAGCTAGTATGTCATGAACTAGTTTGTGTGTGTGTTATGTTGTATGCATCTAGAGATTAGTCTACGCCTTCCACCCTTCTTGTTTAGGCGGAGTATCTTGATTTTTGTATATGTCACACTAACAGGCCCAGAAGCTTCTAAGCTTTCCTCTGTCTCTGCCTGCCAACTCAGAGTCCCCCTGGATTTGCATGTACACACCAGCTTCCATGGCTTTACATGGTTTCTGGGGTAAGGATCTGAACACTGGTTCTTAACTTGTATGGCAAGCATTTTATCCTC